CACCACCCACCACAATGACCTTGTGTGAAGTCAGCAATACGTGGCGATAAATCCGCTTTTAATTGATTAACATTTGACTTTGTGTGCCCCATAATTAGTGACCCTAAGCTAATTAGTGGCTCCCAATTAGTGCCCCATTCGTTTGACCATCAGTGCACTTTGGCTGCACCCGTGAATAATGTACAAGTGGAGTATGGCCGCCATCCGCCAGAATCTGGGATCCGGCTAGACGTTGCATCATCTCCGGGGCAAGTCGGCAGCCCCGTTGGAGCCGCCACGTCCAAGTTGAGGCGAACGGCTTAGTTCGGCGCGTATAATTAAACCTGTAAGCTGCTTATGGGTCTTCCATGTGCCGGGCGGAAGGCACAGATGGAGTGCATACCACCAGTTCCGATTGGCACGTGTCACCGCACTTGACGGAAGAGTTCCCACTGCCGAAAGTCGCAAGTCGGTGATTTCAGCTTTGCCGCCAGCAAAGTTAATTAGTTGTTGACTCCCTGCTAATTGAAGACAGCCGCCCGTTTTCCCACTCCCACTCCAATTGCGATTCCTCATGCAGGCAGCTTTCCCAGCGAGCTGGCATGTGTGCCAGCCGAGATAGATGCCAGTTGGAAGACGCCGGGGAAGCCTTCTGGTCCGGCAATTTGTTAAATTTTAATTAAATTCCTCATGGAATAATTGCATTGCCGGGATGGCAAGGAAGCCCCTGTTGCTCTTAAAAATTAGAAATCAAATAAAAAAGAATTGACTTTGCGCAACTTTAAAGTTTTCCTCATTCCCAGAGCGACAGAGATGGACATCGTGAGTCGTGAATCGGGAGTTCCATTCAAGCGCAATGAGCTGGACCCACTGGACCCACTGGACCCACGGACTCCAAGTCCGGGTCAGAAGTGGCAGACGCGTTCGCCAGGCATTACTCAAATCGCCCCCAAACGATGGTCTATTTATATTTCTGGGCACGGAGGCCAGCTGACCGACTGATGGACACGCAACAATTCCATTTGGCATCCAGAGCAGCTCGGCTGCGTATGCACTCAGCCAGAGATTGCTCTTTTGCCAGCTTCTTGGCCCATTAGTCTTGGCTAGCAGCATGGAAATTTCGGTGAAAAACCACGTGACGAACTGAACATTCAGCTCAGAAAATACGAGTACAAGTTTTTGCGGAGATGTGCTGCATATGTTGGGTAAAAGTTTAATTGCTGTGGCTGCTCCCAGGGTCGCTGCGCCTTAAAGGCCCCGGAATACCCAGTAATCACAATTTCTACTCGACTTGGCCTGCGGTCGCCTCCGCCTGCGGCCCCTAGGGGGCGCCACACGGACGGCTCGGGCACTGGGCAGACAGTTTGGTGACCCCAAGGGGCCGCCATGGTTCACAGACCCCCACTATGTGCTTACTCCAAATCGCCACATGTATTAGAGCCGTGACCGCATTGTTGGGCATCCATATCCAAGAGCGCACGGACTATCAATTCGACAAATTGGGCAGCATATTAAATATTTAAGCGTCAAGCCGTAAAAATGCCAATTTTCAAATATATAAACGAGCTTTCTGCCTTGCCAGCCATTCAGCCCATTCAGAAAAAAAAAAAATAGAACACATGTATGGCTGGCGGTTTCTTCTTTGGTCTTGTGGCTTTTTCATCTGGCAGCGCTTTGCAATTCAAATTTCGCATCGAGGAGCCCATGTTTCTATACTCTTCGCGGAATCAGACCAGTCTCCGGACCTGGACATCTCGTCTCTGGCAGTTGGCAGTTGGCAGTCCAAGGATGCCCCATCTGCTCCGAATTCCAGCAGCGACGAGCACTGCACACTGGGTGAAGTGCTATTCCCTTGGGCTCACGGGAACCCACGAGATCCAAAAGCCCTTTTTGAGAAGGGGATTAACCTTTGGTTAACCCATAACTTTCCAATTAGTCAAGGCTTAAAGTGTTCAGTTTAGCCCACTTAATCTGCGCTTAAATAAATATATAGTTTACATGGGGCCATTTTTAGCTGCATTAAAGTATCTACGAGATATTGCATGGAACTCAGATAAAATATCTTCAAGCAAACGAAATGAGCTGAAATGAGCGCTTTATTGAGCCCAGTTCTGCACAAACATGCCTTTAATTGGACATTTATAACCTGCAACAATTTACGAGTACAATGGTGACAAGAAGTCAAACTCAGAGCTCGAGTCCAATGTGCCCGGTGGCCCCAAATGTGAGGCAGTCTCCAAAGGAAACAATTCCGTATCTGTCTGGAGCGCCACTTTGCATACACTTAGCATATTCGCATTCGACATCGTATCTTCGATGGACGCACGGAACACGGTCGTGAATGGATCCTGGCAGGAGTGGGCGTCCTTAGACAGGAGTTTCGCATTCGACAGGGGGCAAATTGAGGTGTAATTGAGTGGGATGCCTGGACTTAAAGGTGCCCAAAGGTCGTAAGCTTAATTAGACCTGCATACACGTGCCTGTGTGTGGGAGCAATTGAACTGGTTACAGGAACTGCATGCAAGCCTTAAACTGGAACACGACTTAAAGAGGGTTTTGCTCCTTCAAGAACTTCAATTAGGCCAGGGAAAAGGAAAGGCCAGCAATTCGCAGCTGGCTCGTTCAGAAAAGTGTGCACACCAAGTTCCCAGCGCAGTGTCAAAAATCGCATCATGTTGTTTGCATTCCAAATGAGAAAAGCCACAGCCCGCGGAGCTGCAAGCTTCGCACTTTTCCGCAATGACATGTGATGCCCCAGATTAGGTGCCGCATGGGTAAACAAAACTGCCATGGGGCAGCTCCAACTTTTAAGCCAAGAGCATGGCCATTAAAGCGTTCTGCCACAGTATTTTCCCTGCGAGGACATTCCATTTGCCAGTCACGGATGGGGCAATAGCCATTAAGGGCTAAATAGCCTTGTAAGTTGGCCGGCGATGACTTGGCGGCGGCAAGTTTGACAGCAAACATCGACTTGGCTTAACAAATTCAATTTGGCTAGCACAGCCAGCATAATTAGAGGCAACACGGCGGGTGGGCACATCTGTCTTGGATTTGGGCCGCATCTAAGCCGCTTAGCCGTCGAGGGGCGGGAAATTGTAAAGAGAATCGAAAAACGCAAAAGTTTTGGCCATTCACAAACGCATTAGGAGTTAAATCGTCGTCGGGATGCGGCATCGCACATCCGGATAATTACGACGTCGCACACGCTCCTCAATGCACGCAGTTCCGGCGGGGCGAGTTCTGAGTGGACCACAATTGTGCGGTGTTCCAGGAACTCCATCGGATTAGCCGGGGTCAAGGTGGAAAAAGTGGACTTTTCTTTTTGGCGTTCCGCAGGTGGCAGGTGCAGAAGTGGCTATTAGTCGGTGAATTTAAGGGCAGCGAAACGAAATGGCGATGTAGTGGCATTTGCATGCAGGTCTCGGCCAAAAAGCTTCATTTCCCGCTTTGGCCCGGCCCAAAACACAAAGGTAAACTCATTTCCGCTCCGAGCGTGAGTGGTTCGCCGCGGATTCGTTGGCCCTATCTGAAAAGGGTTTTAGCCACTTTCGAAGCGGAGACACGAAGTCTGCCCTTTGCTGTCACTGCTTAATGGCTTCGCCTTCTGACGTTCGCATAAATTGGTAAAATTTTAATTTTCCACTAGATTTGCGTGGATCTGCGCGGCTTCTTGGCTGCCAGTTCCATTTTAGCCCTATTTTTCGCCATGATACCATTCTATTCCGCTGCCTTTGCTTCGCTTTGATTTTGCCACATTTGTTGTGGCAAAAAGGCGGCAGGAGGTGGCAAATTTATGACTGCATCTCCTTGAGGTTTCTCGCTTTTTTATCTATCTGTTTGCGTTTCATTTGGAAAAGTTTTGCTCCGTCTCGATTTTCCCTGTTTTCCCCCTCCACCTTTTCACTGCCAGCGACATCCTTGTTTTCATCCTTGTCAGTGTCCTTCCCTCTCGTCAGCCAAATGATATCAGCTCCTCCTTTGCGTTTCGTTTCCCAGGCATATGACAGATATTCGTAGCGTCACCAAAGACAGTTTGGGCACGCCGATAAAATTACCAGCCAAGTGCTGCCCATTCGTCCTTTTCCAGCCCCAAATGGGCAAGTCCTTGCTCCGGAAAAAGCTCTTTGTGTCCCAAATATCCTAGTTGAATTTACATAATTACGAACCATAAACTTGTTAAATGGCTCAGATAGATTCCTCAGCAGTCCATAAAGAAATGCTCAAGTCAAATTAAGTGATGAGCATGGCTCATCTTATTTCTATATCATAATACATATCGCGCTGGTTTTTATGATAGCTACGATATACATGGTAATAATAATTTGCCATATTAATGGGAGAGGAATCTAGTCGCTGGGCAGCACTGCAATGTGCCCAGGACATGGACCAAGGACGACGTCCTGCAGACAATGCAAAGGATGGTAGGAAGATGAAGATGAGATGGGAAGATGAGAACTCAAATAATGGGTTATTCGCTATGCCAATTGAAATCAGCGAATCAATACGCGAGGAGCAGCACATTTAATTCAGAGTCCTGTTTGAAGTGTAGCAATCGAGAACGACGACGTGCTGCTCGACAATTTGATTAATTCGCAGGCTTTGGCCAAATGATATGAAAAAGCCGCGGGCCGGAATGGGGGCGTGTTTTCAACTTGGCCGTGATTTATGAATGAGATAAAAAAGTCTGAATGCAAAAACTTTGCCCTGCCAACCAGCCTCGCAACCCAGGCGAAAGTATTTTTAGTCGGGCGGCCCCAGGATAATGAGCGATGAAGGAAGCTGGGGACAAAACAAATTATTGCTGATACCCGTGGCGCGCTTCGAGCCCCAAGCTTCAAGAGGCATCCATATGCCAAATGGGCTCATTAGATGCCAGGCGAAATCAAATTAAATCGGCGCCCCTGGCAACGAAAGAGGAGCACGCGTCAAGGATGGGGATGCGGATGCGGAAGCGTGGATGTTGGACACTGTACCACAAACCGAAAACCCGACACCACAGGCCATTTAAGTCGAGGGGCGGCTGAAAAGAGCGTTCTATATTTCGAGAAGGAGCAAGGGCAGCAGGACTACTCCCTGTCCAAGAAGCGCAGCTGCTCCTCGACAGCAAAGTGAGAAGCCTCCTCCGGTTCGGTGGCCTGTATGCACTTCTGGACGCCGGAAAACTCCCGCTTGAGCACCGCAAACGTGCTGGAGTACAGCATCTTGTCCTTGATCCTGGCCAGCGTGGGGCACCAGAGCATCAGGAATAGCTTCTCCTTCAAGCAGGTGGAGGAGGTGCCCTGGCACTGGTGCTGATACGCATAGTCATAGACGGCGAAGCGGCACTGGTTGGGTCCACCCCGTTGCAGGTCCGCCAGGAAGTCGCTGTAGTTCGCCTCCCTCACTCCAAGCAACTCCACCTTGATCTCCCGCTCGTCCTGGATGACGAACACCGCGTATCGATGCTGCTTCAGCTTCCGGATCTGCTCGAACACGTGCTTGCACTCGCGGCTCAGATCGATTCCAGATGCCATTGTTGGTGATTGGTGATTGGTGATTGGTGATGCAGTGCAGCAGGCAAGAGTTTGTCCACGGTTAGCTGGTCTCCAGTGGGGTCAATCACAGCAAGACTAGAAACTACGAAATTTTGACTTAGATATGCACGAAATCCGGCGGAAACTTTCCAAATGCTTTAAGCGGAGCCAACTGGGTGCTCAAATTTCGCACGGAGATAAAATTAATCGGAATGAAAAGATTTACACTTGAATATTATCACTATAATAACTTTTCAATATGTGTGAGTGATGCAGGTGAATATGTAAGTAGTTCATATTAATTATCATGAATATTATGAATATTAATATAATCCATTGGTGTGGATTTTCCACTGTGCAGCTCCACTGGGCCATGAATATTTATGGCCTCAGCACCTTCTGCTCCAGAACCCAAACTTTCTGCAACCCGATCAAATAGAGATAAATTTAGAACTGTTTGTAAGCACTTTTGTCCGTGCGAAGCGAAGGATGCGGCACATCCAGTGGATGCCACGCGTGTTTGTGCATGCAAATCTGCTAAATGCCGCTTGTGGCCCGAAACAATGTCCAGTTTGTGGATATGAGGTTGGCGTTACGGAAATCGGATCTCTATGTGGTTAAATTAATGCACCATTTTATTCCGAATGGTGCAGCGAGCGGATATACAAGTATGTGCATGTACGGACATGTGTGCGCAAGTTGTTACGACATGCTGACTGACAGGAACACAAAGGCGGCGTGCCGCAGGATGCAAGGATGCGAGGATGCGAGGATGCCAGTATGCCGGGATGCCGGGATGCCAGGATGCGAGGATGGCAGATTGAGGGACGCTGCAGCTGGCGGCTGGGCGGACCAACCCATCATTCAGTGCCCACGAAAATGAGTATTAATGGTTTAAGGGGCGCCCACAAGCTCAATGAATAAGGACATAAATGTCCATTAGTGCGGAAAATAACAAGAGGTTGCCATATTTATCCTAAGCTATTGTACTCTAAATTTAATATGCCATTCGGTGTACTTTCCTCGAACTTTATAGCGAGACAATGGCCTATTTTTCCCATCGATTGAGTTGGAAAATGTCACAGATCTCGAGTGCTGCGTTTGCCATGCACTTCATTTTCTAATTAATCTGCGGAAGGGCCGCGCGTATAAACATTGAGGTCCTTCAGTTGCCCGTGACTCGTGGTTTTCCGCCATCAAATGAGTATTCACCCCGAGTGGAAATGTATTTAACTTATCCACTTTAGCCCATAAAAAAGCCGGCAAACTTCCTCCGCTCGTCCCCTTGGCGTTGTCAACCGCTCGGCGCCACTTACAGACACTCGACAACTTCTGGGAATAGATACACCACACAGTTACTCCTCCAAGGACAAGGACTCGCAGGGATCTCCGTTCTATGCGTTTTAAATTCAATGCGCTCTCGGCCGGGCTCATGCATATTTAAGCGCTTTTGCCGTGTAATCAACATGTATGGCTTATACTTTTATGCCATTAAGAGCCTACCAGCTCCGGGAGCGGGCAAAACGGAGAGCAAAACACTTTCTCATCGACACAGAAAATCCCCTCGGGAAGGTTGTGTTGTAAATTAAATACAAAATGACGTAAAATACACTTGAGGCAGCCGCAAAGTATACGGGAAGAACAACAAGTTATGGGCATGGTGGCACACTTTCTATACGCCCACTTTCTACACCCACTTTCTCCCGGAGCTTCAAAAGCCGCCCGGCGGCCATTGTTCAGCGGAGATTTCGTTTTTATTACGCGTAAATGAAAGACATTTGTCGTTGAATGTCGACCAACTGGGCGGGCCAAATGATGGAGGTGCGTCCTCCGCGGGAGGAGACCACCCACCACCCAGCACCCAGCACCCACCACCCAGCATCCAGAGGAAAAGAGCATAGTATACCAAATAGTGCGACTTTGCCAGAGTTCTGAGAAGTAAATTATGTTAGGGCAATATTCAACGTCGCGCACTTTCGAAATTGCGTTAAGCACACATTTGGCTGGAACAAATGCAAGTCTCGAGGAAACTGAATCTTCAGTTGAACATCAGAGCAGGGAATCAATCAACTTCATAAGCCAAACAGGCCACTCACTTTTAATTGGGCTTTCAAGCTATTCTAGATGCAAATTAAAGATGAACTTGAGCTCCTAGATTAATATTAGCTAAAAAACATGATATACACGTGTAGTCGAGCTCCCGACTATCAGATACCCGCTACTCAGCTGGAAATTTCAACATTTTCTCGAATATCAGTAGAAACTGAGGAACAAATAATAAAATGAAATTAAACTTAGAAATCTTTTTAAAAATCTTTTTATTATGGAGTTTTTTTAATTTTTTTAAATTCTACAACATCAAAACAATGACAAAAAATTAAAAAAAAAAATCTAAATTTGAATGCAGATATTTAGAGATTCGAAATTGTTTTAAAAATAAGTATCTAAAATTTACAAGTTTTGCAGCTTGATTTAGCAAATCAGAATCCAGAAGTATGCAATAGTATAAATGCTTTTGGGCACCTGTCTACTCTTATTGCTCTGCCCAGATACATAAAAGCAATGATATTAGGTGCCATTAAAGAAGCATTTGGGCAACCTTCTTTGTTCCCTGTGTACCCTGTGCATAAGTTTCCTGCTCAGCTGTGCGATAAAAATCGCTTTACGGCTGGCAGGCGTCGCTTTTGCCTTCATGATGAGGCAACAGACATTGTTGACCAACATGCGAATGATTAACAAGCAATCGAAGCAATCACCAGGGAACTGAGGTCATGACGCCTTCGCCTTCGTCCTCGTTCTCGTCCTCGTCCTCGCCCCCGCCCCCGCCAGCCCATCACACCCATTCCGGATCGGATTCGGATTCAGATTCAGATTGCGATGGCGATTGCGATTCCCGCTGATGGATGGAGCATAGGGAAACTATTTTAATGGAAAGAACGTGTTCTGTCGTTTGGTGCGGAGGGCGGAGGGCGGAGGGGGGCCAGAAGGCAGGGAAATGAAAAGCACATTTTTGATTTAATTATTTCGCTGCCATTCATGCACGTGCGAATCACCCTCCATTTTCAGTGCCATTGATTTGAAAAGCTTTAGTATTTCATTTCTCTGTTGGCTATTTGTTATTTGATATTTGCTTAGTTATGCCAACAACGGTAACCCAAGGTTTCGATGGAGCGATGGAGCGTAGGATGGAAGATGGTTATGGTTGGCATATGCTTTTGTTCATAACAATATGCATCACGTATACATGGCGCTCCACTTTCAGACCCAATTAGTTACCAAAACCCCAACAAAGCGCTGCGGAAACATGCTGCCGCAACATGTTGCTACTTGGGGCGTTACCAACTGAGGAGTGTCTAATGACTAGGATGCCCGTAAATGGCGCTGCACGGCTAACTTGTGCCAGCTGCAGGGCGAGGGAGGGGCGCGAAGTTTGCATTGAAAGTTAAAGTCAACTGCCCAGCGTCACCAGTATCACAGTGTCCCAGTATCCAGTATCCAGCATCCAGTTTCCAACCAACTGGGCAGCAGCACTTAAGTGGAATGGCAGTAGGCTCCTGGTGTCCACCGACTCCGCTGCAGCACCCTGCAGTCCCAGATGGTCAGGGGTTGTGCACTTCCATAGTTACCTACTTGTCGACACTTCGCCACTCGCCCACTATCGCCCTTTGTCGTCCATTAAAGCCAGTTGGCGCAAGTTGAAAAACACGCCCGCAGCACTTTTACCTGCAGACTTGAAAGGAGGAGGAAGTCCTGCCGGTGTGCACACAAGAACAATGAAAGTCACGGATCGCTGAGGAATAGGCCAGGTCAAAGGGAGTGTTTTTGCTCGTTTAAATATTAGCACAGCAGCCACGCCGAGTGGAAAGCCGTTCTGTGACATCGAAGCGCATCTGCAGTGGCTTACGACTCATAAATTACCCACAAGTGTTGGGGCGTTTAAAGGCGAAACGTGAGTCTGAATCTCGGATGGCTTCCTTTCGCCTTCTCCAGCCATCAACGCATGGATTCTTGCCTGTCTTTTGGCCATTATTTTGTGCGACTGCCTTCGGTTTCCGCTTCCGCAATGCGTGAAATGCGAAATTGCCAAAGGTTGTCAGGCTGAAAATGATGCACGGGAAATGAGGAGCGGCAATTAGCGATTCACAATTGCCAGAGAGGAGGAGCTCCTCCTGCTTGCCGATAAATTGACGGATGATTGGGCCAAATGACACAGCCGATTGAAGCCCAGGAATGCTGCTGGATCAGGAATAAGGAACAAGGAAAGAGGAATAAGGAATGAGGCAAAAGGCAGCACATTTTGATAAGATTGAAGCGCAACAGTGCGTATGAGCAATTTTCAAACAGGACACGTGCCATTTTCGTCCCGAAAAGAGCTCATTTGCCACAGAAATGACAAGAGCTTGCAGCAACTATTTCGCCTTTGAGAAGTTTTCGAAGCAATCACAGTTGGTCCCACTCCCAAATTGATTCCCGATCCGATTGCGACTGCTTAAAACTGCATCTTTGACCAGCAATGCAAATTGCTATGCCCATCTGGGGCAGCCTTTAATTGGCATTCCTTCCGATCGATTGCCTCTTGGAGTCGCACGCCACCTGGCTCCGCCCGTCCCTGCTCCCAGGACTGGTTGCCTCGTCCAGTTATGCAACTCGACTGCGCCCTGGAAAGAGCAAATAGCGAAAAGTATGCACTGCGAAAAATGTGCCTCCAACCATCTGCAATCTTGTGCAACAAACAAGTGCCACGTGTTGCCAAGAAACACATATTTCCTGGGGCTAATAGGGCGCATGTTTTATTAACAAATTTTAGTAAAATTGGAAACCTTTGCACGTGCAACTATTTAAGGCATTCACCTTCACCGGGCTCGATCCACAAATTGTTGGCGAGAGTGCCGCCCCACTCCACATCCGTTTAAGTGAATTGCAGCGCGTTAACGCAGGCGGTGATTAATGCCAGCAAATGCTGCAGCGAATCAGCCAGGACTCCACAGATGGCTCTTGATTATCGAGTGGTGCTGCTCAAGTGGATGTCATGCAATAGTCGAGCTCCTGGGCGGCAGCCCATCCGTCCAGCTAATCAAAATGTAACCGCTGTGAAGCAATTAAAGTCGCAACCTGGCACAATGAGGCCATTTCCACTCTGCCATTTGCATTCATGAATATCATCCGAATATTTGGCTCCCGCTTATTTGGCACATCATCGCCCGTTTGCCGTCGGTTTTGGCCATTGCCAACCGCGATGCCAACTTTTTCTGCTATGCAAATGAATGACACGGCAATGACACGGCAAGTCTAGTGACTACGGCAGACCTGTGTGTACATATATCCCCGTACACAGTGGTTATCCTCACTCCGCACGCGCCATTCCCATGAAAATCATCCCGGCCTCTGTCATTTAACTGCGCCAGTAGCTCACTTCGGCAGCCATTAAAATGGCTGTATTCGAATGGCATATGCCCTCTAAAGACGCCCATGTTTGGCTGCTTTAAGCTCGCACTCAATTTGAGTTAAAATTTCAATTTAAGTTCGAATTCAAGTACGGACCATTGCCATTTTAAACGGTTAGAGTATGCGAATGAACGTTTATTAGCAGTACTTTGGTGAAGCAGGGAACAAACGGTGGAAGCCAAAAGGTACTTTTAAATAGAATTTCCCGCAGTCCATTAGTATTGGGTTGGTCTAGTGTCCTCGGGCGTGCCCAGGCCACTTGCCCAAGGAGGCGGAAATAAAGAAATGTAAAAATATTATTTTTTAATTAAGTCATAATAGCAATGTCGATGGCTAATCGGGGCCCAACGACTCCTCCCCCGGCGAATGCCGTGCTAATGGTAATGACCCGGGCGAAGGCCAAGGGGAGTAATCGTGTTTCCGGGACGGATGGATACGGGATACAGGATACGGGATACGGCGGAACGTGCCCACAGTTTTCGACAGCGCGCACTCAGTTTGCATATTTTCACATCATTTTGCATTTGCCAAAGGACGAACTGAAGGCGTTGGCACAAGGACATCCGGCGAATTGCAGGACCAAGTGGCTTCCGCCCTGGCAACTACATATTACACTAAGTGGGGCGTCATCTAAGCAGTAATTACTTGTATTGAAGCTGCCCGGCCTGAACGCCACACAATATCTCTGCGGTCCCTGCGGTCCGGTGTCCATTTTGCGGATATTCGCCACTCATTTAATCAATTAATTAATCAAAAGTTAGCGAGCAAAGGGCACTGAAACGATTGAAAAGATAAGGCGAGCACTTAAGGGGTTTATTGGAAGAAATTAAATTAAATTTTCACGCTAATGCGCACCGCATCTGGTGTGGGAATTTGGGATTAAGGATGGGAATGGGATTGGGTCCCTCTGCGGGATGGAAGTGTCTGTGGGGTTAAGCTGTGTGTGTAATTTCTGGAAGTAATTTCGTGATTTTCGCTGGCAGCGTAGAACTAATTTCGTTGGTGGTCTCTGGACTTGCGGCAAGAGTTCAGCCTACAGACTGTTCGTCCTCATAATCGTGAAGTTTCCATAAATCATTGCCGGACTCGCCGAGTTTGGGCCGTATCTTTCCGGCTCATTTGGCCAGACTCAATAATTAATCAAACATGAAAGGAGCCCTCGACACCAGTGGGGCTAAGTGGATGTCCTTCGGCTGGCGAAACAGGTTGCCGCGGTTTATCCACACATCTATTCAATGGAGCAGTAGGTCGACTGGTGGGCAAGTGTATCTGAAAAATATTCGCTATATTCGCTAGTCATTTATATTTTCTGTGCGTACTTACCATTCAAATTTTGATGGACAGCTTGCCAAGAAGGTGATTGATTTTGGCTTTCTTAACTCGCTGCTCTTTATCTTGGCTCCGGATAATTAATACTTTAGTTCATTTACCTTGACTATTGTTATGATGGGCGATTGAGGCATCTCTCGGCTGGTGGCATCGTACATTGTGCAAACAAATTGATAGTTTCTTTTCGAAAATGTCCTTTGGTCCCTGTTTTTCGTTCCCGTTTACTCAACACAATAAAAGCAATTTGGTAACATTGGTGCGCATTAAAGTGGTTAAAATATATCCGGAGTGGGCTCGTTGGGCTGCGAAGGACGCAATCGCGTTGGCAACCTCTGGCGGCGCTCATGCCCAGGACGCAGTGACCTCTGATCCTTGCGGGCATTCCAGTGCACGTTGTACAGCTCCTCGTCCTCCGACTGGTCGGCAGTGGCCAGCGCAGATTGTGCCATCCTGGAGGTCGTGGGCTGCTCGCCGTTCCGATCCATCAGGCTCATCTTGGTCTTGGACACGGAATCACCAGGACGTGCCTGCAGTGTGGGCAACGTCTCGGACAGAGTTCCCATTGAGCTGGACGACGGGCGGTGGCCCAATCCCCGATTCCAGTTGATGTTTTGCTTAAGATCTGGAATTTTCAGACGCGGTCTGTCGAACTCCGGCTTTATCTGAGCATCCATTCGCATCTTGACCATATCGACAATTCTGTCTCCCGAGTAATGGCGCGCACTGTTGGCATCAGTGGTCAGGGATTCCCTTTTGGTCAGGGATTCCCTCTTGGTCAGGGATTCCCTCTTGGTCAGGGATTCCAGATTAAAGTCCGACCAGAGTTGGGCGAACCTCTCGGAGTTCGGGACATTTTGTTGCTTGGCGCTGGGATCGGCTTCCTGATCATCCGGCTGCTCAGCTCCATCTTCCGCTTCCAGGAAGGCAAAGCGATCAATGAAGTACAGCTTCTCTGGCGGCTTTCCCTCGCCGCTGGTCATCTGATGCTCGATCATCTGGAGCTTGTACACATTGAGATGATACCGCATGTTGCGCATCCGGCAGCGCACAAATTCGGCACTCAGATGACTGCCCAGTTGGCTGGCAATCTTCTCCCAGGAACTGCGCTTCATGTCCGCATCCTTGTACGCCGGCAGCGAGGTCTTCCACAGGCACGGCTGCTCCCTGTAGAGATCCACCAGCCGCAAATTGAACTCCTTCTCCTGGCTGGAGGGCAGTGATGCAGCCGCATGCCGCATGGCCAATAAACGCTTCTGGCGCTCCAGGCGCCGTATCTCCATCATTTTCGAGCTGTTGCTGTGGCTATCTGTCTATATGTCTATCCGGATGAGGGAAGTGTATCTAAGGGCCTGCTCAGGTTGAATCCAACTTGAAATATTAGCTTTTAAAGTCTGTCAGCTGGCATCATGGATGCTGACGACTTGGATCCCAGGTATACATCAGATAAGCTGCCAGCAGAGGGCTTAGCCTGGCCAAGAATGCGTTCCCACTCGATGTCAGCACTCACATGCTTCAGTGCACCCACATAATTTGTGCTGCTGTGCAGGATGGGCGGCTCAAAGGCAGCAGAATGTTGCAACCGCATAGTTGCCCCGCCAGTTGGGCGGTGGGCGGTGGCTGCAGCAGAGGGAACGGAAGCAAATGCCTCCCTTGAACGTTGCCATAAAGGACACGGCTTGCACTCACAAGGGGATGGATATACTTGGATGGATAGACAACAAAGCTCAGAAGGAAGCTCGTAAGTGCTGCCAGTTTATCCTTTTTTTTAGCTCACCCTGCATCGCGCCGATGAGTTCGCAACACTCAAAACCCGTCAGTGACTCGTCTTTTGGTAAAACGAGAAAAAACATTTCCTTAAAGTCTCCGCATACCCGTGCTTAAATGCTGGGAGCAGCAGGGTCCTGAAATGGAATGCTGGGTTGCAAAATATCTTGTCAAAAATAGTTATATTTGTGCATCTCTGCGACACCCGACGAATGGGTGAGCCACTTTGGTGATATTAAATGGCAACTCAGGTCGTCCTGCTTCCAGTCCAGGGAGCATCCTGCAGGATGCGTGTCCAGTCCTCGACTGCGGATGCCCTTCGGGCAGGAGGAGGGATATTTAATTAATTTCGCCACCTAGACGGCAATGAATGGCGGGCTGTGTCTTTGAAATATCCACGGATTGGTGCCGGAGTGCCAGAGATACGTCTCGTTCGTCAAATGCAAATGTTACGCACTTTACGCCGAATTTGAATAAACAAAATGCGTGCCAATTAAACACAGTGGTGGGTGGTGGGTGGTGAGTGGTGGGTGGTGAGGTGAAACTCCGCATTTGGCAATTGTGCCGCCTAACGAACGTGAGTAATTAGGGCTGATTGGCGTTGGGAATCGCACGTTTGCATAATTTAACAATGAATATTGGACAAACCGTCGCAGTTTCGGGCTGGCAGAGGATGGGGAAGGGTGGGGGGAAAGGGGGTCCCATCAGGCGGGAAAAACACGCAGCATTTGATTTGATCGCTTTGAGAAGGACTCCACTAATTGCCCACAGCTGGAAGAAAGTTTGTAGCTCAGTGGTGCGGAAAAATACACGTGCAGAAACCGGGGCATGCTATTTACATAACTATATTAGAGAATGCAATACGAATAATATTCATGCAAAGAAAATCTTCTTATTTGCGCATGCCAAGCAAATTGCCCTCCTTCCTTAGCTGAAACTAAATTCACAGCGAACTATTGCTGTTTTGAAAAACTTTCACAGGCAAATTTCCAAGTGTATGTACTACTAAGTGCTTTAACATTTCTTGATGGCATCTCTGCAAAATTAAAGCGTGTTAAAGCCTTGCATAATCCGAGGACAAGGGGAAGTGCCCAGCATTCCTGCCGATGGATGACTTGATTCTGGGCGGCTTGGGGGTCGAACTATGGACAAGAGTGATTAGTGCAGCTTGTGGCCTTGACGGCGTCGAAAAAAGTTAGTCAAGAAGTCCGAGGAACTAATTTTCCATGTTATTAGAGAACTTACAAACCTGATTAGGTGGGGGAAACTGGGAGACTGGGAAACTGGGCAACTGGGAAACTGGGAGACTGGGAGTTGTGGTCGATTTTGCAACGCATGCCCAAGCCAAACTGATTAGTGAGTTACATCAGATTTCGTTTTTGCAATTAATTACGGTTGCCACATTCAATGCGACTTTTGTATTTTGCGGTTTGCACCCTTATAAGCGGCTTAAAAGAGACTTCCTTTGAAGAGTTTAATTGCCAAAAAACATTTAGATTAATCCTCTCGACAATTTCCGTTGGCCATTTGGATGAGAAGCAAATTTCCAAATTTATTAGACCAAAAAACCATCAGGCTGCAAAAAAGCGAACTGGGCCAAGGAAAAAAGGAAGCACATGCCATTTGTTTTGCAATTAAAATGGATGTAAGAGTGGAATATATTGACTTTAAAAGCTTTTATGCACAACATTTTTTCATATGTTAATAGACAAGCGCGCAGAGTGCATTTATTATTATTATTAAGAACTATGCGCTGGCATGTAATGCCAGTTTTTCATCTCCATTTAGTACTGCTTTATTCCAGCTTCCAAGCACACTTTGCACTCTTTTATTAACTTATATTTTGTGTGCTCTCGACTCTCGACTTTGCAGCTACAAGTTTGGCTAATAATTCGACCCTGCCGCCCCTTTCAACCGAACTGGCGCATAGACAAACGAAAATTTAATAAAGTCAGCCTCGAGCGTGTCCCCAGTCCGGTAATTGAGTTTTGATGGTCGAGTGTCAGACGCCCCGGCCGGCCACATCTGTTGCCAGCATGTAAATAAGGTCCTGCCCGCAAATAGCCACAGAGTGCCCACCAGCAGGATATTCGCTCGCCATGACCACCCGGCTGCCTAACGACCGCCGTTTGTTGCCATCGGTTCGCAATGTTCGAGTCATTGTGGGGCACCCTTTTGGCCACACGCGTGACCAGCCACGCTCTGCCCACGAAGTCCCAGGTCCTGCAACACTTATTGCGACTCCGACCGGGAAATTCCACTGGCCCTGCGACGCAGCAAGGGACCGTGCTCCTGCGCAGCACCCATGGGGCACCGCTTCTCCGGCTCCCGATCTCGACGGGGCGAGGGGCGCAACGCGAAGGCTACACTGCCACACCAACCTGGATGCCAATTGGAGGAATATGTGCAACGCTGCGTATGCGTAGTGCGAACGCCACTGACACTGACACTAGATCTTACAGATGCACTACACTGGTACTAGATAGTAATAGAAACGTTCAGAAACTGATCACTAGGTTTGTTGATAATATATCACAATATCAATATATCGATAATTTTCTGAAATGTTATATTTATATCGTGATATTTCTTTTGCCCAAATATCGATATTGCGATTTTTTTTGATATTTTTTTGATATTTTCACTTCGGTCACTCTGATTTCCAAAGCGTTACCGGGTAAAAGTAATCGTGTTAAAATTATAAGTTACCTCCTGTATCGAAAATATCAATATTAACACGCCCTGAATTGATTCGAATTGGTGAATGCGCTGCTTATTTCGCTCCGTGCTGCTGCACCATTCCATCCATGGGGACATGGAGGCTTGTGCCATGTTTGTGCACAGCAAATTGTGTTTAAACTGGATGCACTGCGGCACGTGGGACTTGGATGCCACTGCGAGCGCGGTTGGCCAGGAAACGAGCGATTCCTCAAATCCATTGTGCGGCCGACCATGAGCTCGTTTTCGTTCCGCTTTCATTGAAAGTCCTTGCGGCTGCAGGATAGTCAAAGTGAAGAGATCTGCAGGAGGCGTTAGGCATATGCGAATCGAATGCTCATCGGCTGCTACACTCGCAAAAATGCCATGCATTTTTCGTTGGCCTGCAGGAAATGTTGCAAGCACTAATACCACATAATACTGGTTTATGATTATGACTTGGAAACAACAATTTTAAAGAGCGCTCTTGCAAATAATATGGTTGCTTTGTCTTTCACATAAAATTGTAGACTCTCGAAAAGCGCAAGCTATTTTTTCCAGTGCGTGCAATGCACATATTTAAATGTTTGAGCTTGCCAATGAGTTTTTCCGTTCGTCATTCATTGCAATTCGGCAAAAGCATTTATCGCTCCAAATGTGAGTTGGTTGTAGTAAAAAGAATTCTATTTGCATAGCGACGATCAAAGGATGAGCTTTTACAATTATTTTGCCATAGCTGATGGGCTTAAAAATATTCATTTCCACCATGGATATTGGACATGGCCTCTTTTGAACTTCAATTTGTTCAACCTTAGTTCGGCGTGCACTGCACTTAAATTATACCCTCGAAAGCGCCCGATATGCGGGTATTTTCAATCTGACAGCGACAGGTGTGGACCTATTTTGGGTGCACAGATGGGGGTTTTCTGGGGATTCAAATTCAATTCCAGGCCAGGAAATCAAAAATACTCCCAGCTGACGCCTTAAATGAGATAACAAGTTTGTAATTTTGGCATAATTGCGGCCTCCGCAGGGAGAAACAACATGCTGGGCAGGATGGGCCTCCACATCCTCCATTCCCGTTCCCATTTCCATTCGCAACCGCCTTCCCATTCCATTTCTTGCTTGGGAAGCGGAACTGCTGTGTATTAATAATATTAAAATCAAAATCCCGTATTTTTGTCTGCCGCTGACTGCTGTTCTGCAAACAATTGCCAAAAAAAAGTTTGTTTTCCTTGCTTTCAGTTGGGGGGCCACTGGAATGGGAGGTCAGAGGTCATAGGTTCGAGCTTAGAGGCTAGAGGTCGGGGATCACGAACCGGAAGCACACGTGCTGAAAACAAGCCAATTAAAAGATTGGCAGCAACACGAAATTAAGCCTGGCAAACTGATAACCCAGCGCACAACTTGGTCACTGAAGTCCTTTCGCAGCAATTCGCCAAATTTTGCCAATTGGAATTTCATTCGTGGCCAAGAGCATACAATAAACGGTTTTATATTCCATTTGAAGTTGATTGTGATTTTGATGTGGATTGTGCAGCTGCGATTTTGATTCTAGCTTAGTTTAAACGGAAACAAGTTGTCTGTGTTCTGTGGTTTGGCATTTCAACACTTATGGCATTCACACATGTTTAGCAAATAGCGACGACCACTTCATTTAATACTTGTTTATTTTTGATAAGTGTTTTGATATTTTTTCATGGTTTTATGCGTTTTGTTTGGCTTAGTTTTAGCTTACCACCAGCTGAGTATCTGATAGTCGACTACATGGCGTTCACTTTTGTTTTCATATTTTTTACTCCAGTTACATTTTCAGTGCCATATATGGGTTTTAAGCCCTTTCTCTAACTATCTTTAATAGCTCTTTTTCAGCACAAACGTATACCGAGTGGGAAACCTTTAAATGAAACCAATAGGTTAATTTCGAAAAACTTGCTTTCCATGCCACTGCGTTCCATTAAAAACTTGAATGAAACTGTCTCCGCCGACAGCTAGACAAACATGGCAATAAACATTCCTTGACCCTGATTTCAGCCACCTCTCTTGACGGTTTTGTACATCTGCAGCCTTCTCTGTTCTCAGTGGGGTTTCATATTATTGTTCTTTTTTTTTTTTGATTTCTTGTTGGCTTTACCGCTTCGGTGGCAAAGGACATTTCCAGCCGTGGGCAGTCGCTTGAAATATTTATTATATTGTAAATATAATAAATAGAAGGGCCTTTGTGCGCATTCTTGGCTAAATCAAAATCGACATCCCCAAGGGCGCATATATGTACTCGCATTTCATACATACATATATAGCAGAGTAAATATATTTCACATGTGGAAACTGATAGGCAATGTGCGGATTTGCAGGAGATTCTCGAATGGAACTGCACTTGGTGTGCGCACATGTCCTTATTGCCTCCTTGGGGTCGACTGCACTTATTGCCCACCGATTAAGGACTGTTGTAATTAAGGGAACCGCACAATTAAATTGCATTCCATTCTGCAGCATGGCCCGCAATCCATTTATGTCGACTTGTGTTCCGAACTCATTAAAAATTCAATAAATTTGTAAAAAAAAAGCAAAAAAGCTGGTTTATTTCCAGAAGAATGCAGCTTTTTGTTGTTTGCCTTTGCTGGCCGCCGGCTGTTTCAGCATTCAGTTTTCGACCATTTGCTCGCAATAAATGAAAATAAATTGTATGCCGCCAACGAGTCGTTTAAGTCCTGCCACACACGCACACACACACGCGCGCATTTAAGTCCTGCGAAGTGAAAATGGAACGGAAATGGACCCCTGAAAAGCTG